GGGGGTGCCTTCTATTTAAAGCATTTTTAGACGGAGGCTTAGCCTCCGCTCTATTGGTACCGCTCAGCTGCGGCGGAAGAGAATTTGCGATCGCCATCTAGCGGCTAATCACGTTAACTTTGATTAGCTTGGTCCCCCGGCTCATCCTTTCCAAGGCAGGAGTACATGAAGCAAAACAGGGACAGGGAACCAGGCTAAACTTTGATAAACTGGCCTGCCTGTCTGATATCGGATATGTGCTGTATACAGACAGGTGATCAGTAATGTTTAGAGTCCGCTGCTGACACGCTCATTGGCTGATAAAAACTCTCGCTGACATAGAATTTAAATTGTCGGGGAAACCAAAACAGATCACCAAGTGCAGTTCTCTGCATCTGCTTTTGATGCAATTAATCTAATTCGGTCACAATATTTTCCACATACAATACATAATTCTTTTTTTTCTCATGGACCTATAATTATCTCACACCTTTCACCTCACCTGGGGGATTTTAATTAATTTGCGAAGGTCCTATCACATTAATACCCTACATTACCTAGATAGAAGAAATCTGCATCATTGTTTCATTGAAACTGACATATTTTAAATGTTCACTCACTGACTCAGCAGAGAGCTGCGGCTTGTCTGTTTATAGCTCTGCTGCATCTATTTTTAGAATTCCTTATCACATGTTTCAGAAGTTAGATGGGACAAACTGACCCACATGTTTCTATGTTTACATGACCAAAACCAAAACAGTGGCTTGAATCTTACTTTGTGGTGTAAATTTAGTAATATTATGGCTAACCTGTGCAAAAAAGGATGCAATAAAACAATGTTGTCATGGAATCTGCAATAGTGACTCAAAGTATGCCCACAAAAAATATATCCAAGGAGTTGAATTTATTAGATTTCCCAAACCTTGGATAGATATTGAAAAAGTGTCAAGGATGGGTGAATGCTTGTAAACGGTTCATTGGCGGATCCAAGGTAGGGGGGGTCCGGGAATTGGAAGCCCACTTTATTTTCTGTCTAGTGGAGAGAGAGAAAATGAAACGTTTTCCGAGAATAAATAAAAATACATATATTTGTACGTCTAACTTATGTATTGAATAGATAGATTCTCACACATTAATTTTCTTCCACTCACTTTTCTTTCAAATGATATGATTAAAACGGTTCTATATTATATGAACCGTTTGAATCATATCATTTGAAGGAACTAACATGCAACTCTTTGTTTTAAACCCAACCCGCACCCACCACGATTTTTTTTTTCAAACTCCAAAAGAAAATTCTTTGTACTCTTTGGAAATGCTGCAAATCCATTCAATTTTAATTAAGGCTTCAGCAGTTTTTTTTATTTTTTCTTTAAATTCGGACTGGGGGACCAAAGAAATAAATGGACGTAAACAGATATTATTTACCGAAACCTAAGATCTTCCATACGTGTGTGTGAATCTTTGCTTGAGAGTGTGTAGGGGGGGGGGGGTTATATGGACAGTACAACCCTGGAACCCCTCTTTCAAGAGTGGCTAGATCCGCCTCTGAAACGGGAAGGATTTTCAACGAAAATGGGTATTATCCGTAAAATCGCGTATAATACTGGATATTAGGGTATCGTTGAATCCACAATATCTAGTCAAGGCGGTGTAATCACTTTATAAAACTTGAACAATGGGATGGCATATTTTGCGGAGTCAACTTTCACCTAGATGCAAATGTTTCTAAAGGTATCACCAGTCAAGTAAGAATTTGGAAGTCAGGATTAATGCGCACTGGACAACAAATACCTGTAGAGCTTAGTACATTTCAGGATCTGCACCCAAACAGGCGTTTGTTCTGCTTGATATTTTTCATAATGTTGGAAATATTTGGATCTTCTTTATGTTCATACCCAACACAACAGAACTATTAATTAAAAGTTGAATGTGCATGTAGATCTATGCATTGTTATATCTGAATGCTTGTATCTCAGCTCCTTTTAGTCCTGAAGAGTTAGAGATACTAAAGTACTTTTTGGCTTTCTCACATTTCAGGAAGCTCTTACCACGAGTCACTAAAGAATTGAAATTGATATAGTTTATTGCAATTAGATTGGTTTGTCCTTTTGATGAAAAATAGGAATTCAGTAAATTACATTAGACCACGGTAACATAAATGAAGAAGATGTGTTTGTGAAACACTGTTGCCCCCCCCCCCCCCTATATATCCCTTACCATTCAAAAGTCATGGCCAAGGTTAAAGTTTTTTCAGAAGTATAGAATATCGAAGGTCAAGGTCAAAAGGTCAAGTTTGTTAATATCCAATGAAAAGTCTTTCCACAAAAAAAAAGATATATGAAGTATTAATGTCCTGGTATCTACTTTTCAAAAGATATGGCCAACTACCCTTAGGCAAATGTTGGGGTCAGAATATGAATAAAAAATTCCGAAAGAGACAAACAATCATGTTCATTCCAAGCCTCCGTCTATCAGTACTTTCAGTACTTTGATTAATGATATACATCTACAATGTATACATCTACTACATAGTTTAAATTTTGGTAGAGTGCTCTCAAAAAGATCCTAAAATAGGAATCAAAGTACAAAGAATATGAAACTTGTTGGAGTTAATGATATCCTAAAACTTGACCAACTCATATATTTACATATTCACTATCAGTTATCTGATAGGAAGTTTTACACTACTAAAAATAGACGGAACACGTGGTGCATATCTATTTTAAATTGTTTTCTGGACTTTTCCAGCAAACTTTATTCATATAGATAATGGTTTAAAACTTGGATTGTCTTTTCATATCAACGAATAACGTGTCAAACATAAACCTGTATGGTAGCATGGTCAAATTTTTGTTAAAAATCGCTTCGCAATTTTCACTTATGTCATACATACATGTACTTCATCTGAATTAGTCCTTCTATAAAAAAAAAAATGACACGACATGCATTCAGACAATGCCCATTCAACACTTGAATTTGGAAAGCTCATGAATGTTTACAAGAACATGGGGTGGGTGAATAATTTGCCGCCCGCTATTCAACGCTGGCGACCTCTCCCCTTGTCATTACATGGAATTTTTGTTTGCTAGTGCCCCTACACCAATCGAAAATGTTTGATTATGTACCTCCCCTGAAATTGCGTCATACGGGCGAGCCACTGAACTTTTTTAAAGATATACAGATTTTGTGAGAAAATTTACATGTTTTATTTATTAGTCCCCAATCCGTGAAACAAGAGGGAACTAAATGTTTTCTTCTCGCCTGTTAGCATGTCCAACTTGGTTTTCCTCACATTTTTTTTCAACATGATTGAAGACGTTGGGCTGATTTAAGGTATCCTGAATAGTTACGGAGTTTGCATAATTCCGTCAAAAACTGAAATTATGTCCTTTTTACCCTAATTACACTTGGCGGTGAGGAATTAACCTTCCTCACCGCCACTCGTGGGTATTGTTGACATGAAAAGCGATGCGATACTGTATCATGCGGCTCAGGTGAGCCAAAAAGAGAGAAGAAAATTGCAGTACTTTTATATTATACATGTACTTAAATTATGTACATTAAATATTATAAAAACAAAGAATAAGCATTATATGTACATGTATACTGGTGTAAATAATTTCCTGTCATAAATCAGAAAAAATGTATTTCTACACCGAGTCACCGAGTTTAAATAAAAAAATTAAATCTGAAATAATAAATTTATACAAGAAATATTATTTTAAAAATATAGTATGTTCTATCATCATTGATAGCGATATGATACCGTCTCTTGTGACATGACCCGGCGAGTTTTCCTTTGAAGTCAAGCATACTGTAACTGCGATACAGAACACTTTTTGTGGGCGTTTCTTATGCAAATGAGCTGAAACTGTACTGTATCTGCAAAATATCAACGATACAGTACGGTTTATTTTTAGCGATGACGGAAAGCTGTATCCGTATACAGACATACCAATCGTTCAATTCGCCATAGAACTCTTAGTATTTACTCAAAAATTGAGGTGAATTAAAAATAAAATTTTACAACGTAAAGGTATTATCGGATTCAACATTTTATAAAGGAGTGGGGCAGTTCACAAATTATTACCCCCCCCCCCCCAAAAAAAAAAAACAAAAAAAAAAAAAACGGAAAATCGTATTCCATGGGGGTAGACTTATAATCAACCAACACCTATGTGCGTCAATTCGTTACTTGTTGTTGAAATAAAAACCGTATGTATACAAGTTAAAAAAAAAAAATTAAGAAAGCGAAAAAGAAAAAAAACTCAAAGTTGGGATGGGGGCAGCAGTGAGTGCTGTATCCCCGTTTGGTTACTCTACATTTTAATGAAAACGTGAAGGTAAAATACCCCCCCCCCCTCCTTTTCCTTTCATCTGCTTATTTCAGTTTTGTATATGACGACCGGTGGAGGACATTGTCGGACATTTCTCTCAGAATCTACGATCTCCCGAAGCATTTTTTTTTCAAAAATATTCCCACATGATTCTCATATATCAAAATGTTTTGCATTAAATCGTAGCTTAAACTAATAAAAAAAATGTCAGCGAGAGTTGCATAGAGAGAAAAAAAACCTGCGCAATCAAATTCAAATAAAATTTTTGGAAAACAAATTAATTTATGCATCCCTTAAATAGTTTTAAAATGATAGATACCTGCACGTCCATCTCACTCGGCATTTCAGTTGAGAATGCTTAAAATGGGATACTAAATCAACTTTCTGCAAAATCATCTGATTGGTTGGGAGGTATACACCCAAATACGCATGTAAATTAGTGAGGTCCTTGGAAAGGTCATGTCACAAGTCATTTAAAATATAGTATGTTCTGTATCAGAGATTGATATCGCTCTCGCCTCAAGCCCCGCCCAGTATCTCTGATACAGTAAGAAACTCGTACTCTAAATAATACTTATAAGCAAGTTAAATGAAGTACTGTATATACATGCGTTATTTATACACCGGTATATCCTTGCTCTATGATATATATGTTACATTAAAGGTTTGCAATTTTATATAAGAAATTCAAAACTATCAATAACAATTTGTTGTTCATGCATAAGTCATTTATAAAATCAGGTAAATATAATCAATGTCAGTGAACAGCTACACATGATGTAACTTGCTATATAATTCTATCATGATTCGCAATTTACATGTACATGTATTTAATTAAAAGGAATCTGAATGAGAATCAGGCAAATGCCTACTCCATTATAAGATTAGAAAAATAATGCAAATTAGTTTAAAAAAGACATTAACTTATAAAACTTAACAGCAGAATATCATGAAGCTACTCTTTCCTCTCTCTAACACTATTACTCGTATGTAGATCAGAGATCTGTGTTTTCGGCGGTCTCCACATCCACCTCCGTATCGGGGGGTCGGTCACGGGTCCCACAACACACGACAGGGATTTCTTTGAAGGTCGGAGACACAGGGAAATATGAACAACACTTCAGTTTTTCCACATATTTTGTGACGTACGGCCATTCGTACTGTACTGGTGTCAATTCTTGTGTGCTCTCCGAGGAATACGTGTTCTCTCGCCATTTTATCAGTCCCCTTTCTTCCGGTGTACCTAAAATACATACTTAAGGAATCACGGTCTAGTTAGTGTAGTATGCCAGGATATCAACGCTAGTGGGAAACATGGGATAATTTGCATAACGGGATTCGATTATCCCATGCTTTCCACTATCGTTGATGTCTTTGGCATACTATACTAACTAGACAGTGATTCCTTATATTTCCATCTCATTGTGAAATAAAATTGTAGATTTAGACTTTAAAAATGTAGACTAATAGATTTAAAATACACGAGGACTCCCATGCCGATTTCAATAGTCCTCCTCACTGACGTCAAACACCAAGGCAAACGCACGAGATTTACATGCATATTTGGCCTCCTTAGCGTCAGACACAGAGACAGATGCGCACGAGATTTGCATGCATATTAGGCCTCCTTAGCTCCTGACCTATCGAACTGCCTAATTTACATTCCGGCAGAATTATCAAGAATTCAACTCCCCTATCTTTCAAAGAGTTATCACAGAGAAAAAAATTAGAATTGGAAATATTACATTGTTAGAGGTCAATGTGCAATTATTGGTCAAGCATCTCAAAAATCACAGGTATGCTGTCAGCGTCTAAACTTTCTGATGGAACATCTGTGCAGAGACAAGACAGTAGACACTTAGTAGAAGTTTGTAAAATGCTAACCAAAGTTTGCAAAGGCTGCATGAAATATGTAAACGCAGTATCAATGTCTTTAGTTTGTCTCCAATTGCTGTAAATTTGTGGTAGACTAGAATTTTTTTTTCAAATAGTAAAGTTGTATCTTTAAAAGAATTTCAAGATTAAGGTATAAAAGGAAACTCGTGCTGTAGTTAATGTAACATACCAGGTACTGTGTTGTCCAGTATAAATCCAAGAATTCCTCCCACAAACATAGCAGTACCTAACAGAACTTCCAGAACCTGGTCTAAGTCACGGCTACCTGCAAATTACTTAATTATTATAATCCCTAAATCTGCTCGTTCTTTGACTCGTTTCTATATATGGAGCCTGCGCGCCATTTGTCTAAAAAATCATAAAATACTGTGTATAATTATTTCTGTTTCATCCAATCCATGACCCGCGTGGCGCAGTGGTTAGAGTGTCTCCTCTAGAGTCGCGAAGTAAGGAATAAATCCTTACGTCGCAGGTTCGAATCCCACTGCGGGACGTATAGACCGGTCCTTCGGATGAGACCGTATATAAACCGAGGTTCCGTGTCGCAGTGCTGGCACGTAAAAGATCCTTTCCTGCTCAATGGCCCTGAGTGCCGAGTATAGGACAAATTTGTAGCTCTCCACTGGCAAATGGTGGCTTTTCCATATGAGTGAAAAATTCTCGAGAGGGACATTAAACAATATATACAATCCAATCCTTGGCAAATAAATTCTGTGTTGAAAATTTATGGTAAGAATGTATAAAACAATTTATTTATTTTAAAGCACTGTAAAACACTAGTGTATAAAGCCACCATAACAGAGCAGTTTTACCTGTATCAATGGCGCCCGGATTACTCTGCAGCCACTGCGGGACCATCAATCCCAGGATAATGGACACAGCTACTATGGTGAGATTCCTTGTCGATCCCAGATCCGTGAACTGCAGGACAGATATTCCCACGGCTGCTACCATCCCAAACACCACTGTCAGACTTCCACCGATAATGGGATCGGGAATCAGAGTCAGGACTGCGCCAAATTTACCGATAATCCCACATACCAGCAGGATCAATCCCGCCACCTGGAACACTCTACGACTGGCAACCTTCAATTACAAACATACCGGTAATTCCTTTTGGCAACTCCATCTAGGAATATTAGGTCATAACTATCTACTGACTTTTGTACTAAATATGTACTGTCTAAAAATTGGACTGAATGATACCAAGAGCTGTCTAGCTGCTTTACAAATGAAGACCTTACAGAATAGAAGACACTAAGATTTGATCGTCATGTAATTCCATTGGCAATCCGTACAGACCACTTCTCTTCCAGGCGAGTGATTCTTTACCTTCGTGATGCCAATCGCTCCGATGTTGCCGGAGTAAGACGTAGTTGCATGTCCCGCGCCAACCATCCCGGAAATGATGCTAGAGAACCCCTCTGTAGCGATCCCTCTGTTGAGCGCGTGAATTGGTGGGGGTTGTGCCCCAGATAATCTGGCGCAGGCAAAGTAATCGCCAATAGACTCTATCACAGACGACAGCGTGGCGGCAAGCATACCCACGTAACCAGCTGCCGAAAAAGTGGGCATCCCAAACTGAACTGAGAAAAATAAATTGTGTACTTACTTCATGAAGACCAAAATCATGAAAACGGATTTAAAAAACAGTTGGTGTTCATGACTATAGAAGTTGGCACTTACACGGGTACGGAAAGTAGAACCAGGGCATGGAGTCTAAAACGTCAAGCCTGGCATCAGACCTTGCGTAGTAACTGACGGATGTGACGTTATTAGGAAAAACGTCCGTCACGGTCAGGACGTGGCACAAAACCCAGCTGACTATGATGCTTATAAGAACCTTTTATAAAATTATTACAAATATTAACAATTTCATTTTATAATATCAAATAATCACCAGCCATTTTATATTAGGATAATAAAATGGAAGTAGAAGAAGATCAAAAAAAAAAATCAGTCAAACTCTGAAAACTGGGCAAAACACACGGACACCCCCACCCACAGGTGAGCATCATGTCGACCGCACATCCCCGCCAAGAGCGTTATGTATTGATCAGGTAGACGCGGAGTATTTTTTCAGTTATTATTATCAATAGGTTAGTCAGAATATAACTTAATGAGTTAATGTAAGACTGTTTGCTAACAAGGTCATTATAACTACTATGGAAGATACAAAATCAGGAAAATTTCTGTTGCATCAACTTCGTTGTCAGCAGCCTGCCTTGGTTTAAAAAATGGTCGTTTTCAGTGCATGCAGATGACAGTTGAACTGAAGTCAAGACACAATAGGTTAACATTGGTTTTAAAACAATAGCCCACTGGTATCCATTTCCTTTCACAAATTATGTTTATCGTGAAACTTACAGGCATTAATTGAAAGAATGGGTATTTTGTCACGTGACATTTCTTTTCTCTTGAGTAAGATGGAAACGGAATCTGGAATCCACCCAAATACAAACTGCAGGCAACCATAACTACCAGTGTCCTGTCGAAAAAGGAACAAAACTCTTGTCTTATGATAGTGATGATTTTTTTTTGTGGGGGGGGGATGCATTCATAATAATTAAAATATGTTATAGAAAAAATAACTAAAGCATTATATACTAGTACAATAAACCTCGATATGCATGCTTTAAGGTATGGAAACAGCAATTATACTGCAATTATTTAAAATAAAAAATGGTAAGTTCTGCTCCTCAAAAGAGTATGGCAAACCCATGCGCATAGTTTCACTTATAATACCCCTTCCCCCCTACCCATGAGCAACTCTTTTGTCAGGAAAAACACTTACAGCATAGAAATGCCCCAGTGTATTTTGTTGAAGTCTGCAGCTACAGCAGTTAGAGACAGGCCGATTAGGGAGATAGTTGGGGCAATGGTCAGGGGACCGATAAACTGAAGGAAAAAGCCCATCAGCCCGGTACAACCCAGCACAACCTGGGTTACTGAAGCCAGCATTAAATTCCCTTGTATCTGAAAAAAAAGAAAAGTGAATTATATATGATATGCAAAGACATCCTGTTCTTTCCCAATCGTGTTAAAAGTGCAATCTAGTCGATTACAGAAAAATACGCATATAAAACCCATTTTATGTTCAATGAGCATCAAGAATTATTTATTTATTTCGTCAATGAAAAGAAACATCAAACATATTTTTGTACTTAATGAAAAACAAGAAATATTTATTTCCTTAATTACCTCACGAAGACGAAATTGCCACACTTCATCTCGATCAGTTGTAGTTGCGTTTTCTGTAAATACAAAAAATATTAATGGGATGAATATTAAAACTGATTACAAATTATATTGTATTAGACTTTTATTTTCAAATGGCATTCTTTATTCTCATCTTACAATTTCAAACTAGTTTCTGTAGGTTAACTCAAAGTTTTGAGCAAAACCTTTTGATAGATAAACTAGTTACTACATGTACCTAATCTCTAAAATAAAATAAATGCACCTGTTCCTCTGATACTCAAATTCAATTCAAGTATAACTGGAGTTCGGAGTTACATGAAACTTGTAATAGCCCTCCTCTCCTTCTTTGTTACAAGCCTTTTGTTAATGCATTTCAGTAAGTGGGGATTGGTATAGAACAAGAGACCCAGGGACAACAACACTCAACAGGATCACTTTTGGGACCTTCTTCCTCCACGGGAAAGTTCTGGTTTCGTATTCATAAAAATTCTCAAGTACTTAAGCATATTTTACTAAGCATATTGCTTAGCATGTTGCATAAAACTTTTCAACTGAGTCAACTCATAAGTATATGCTCAGCATATACTTAAAGCTAAGCATGGTGTGACTTCTCCAATGTTTCTGCACTCGCTTGAGATAAGAGCGCATGAGAGACGCAACATAAAAAGAAAAGCTGAATCATGAAATAGTTTCAGGTACATGTTTATTTTCCAAAAATATTACTCACCTTTTAAAGCACTGACATCCGGACATCTAAATTTCTGGATGGACATCATGGCGACAATTGGTGCTATAAAAGTGTGAGATCCTCCCTGAATAATGCCGAGCCTATCAATAATGAACCATCAAAATCTGATCCAGGAAGTGACGAATTTATGAGGAGAGGTCACAAAAATGTAACAGCTATTGAAACACATTTTGAGATCAATCACAATTCTATATTTTCACCTTTTCTTAATGCAGTTTTTGTGGCAAGGGACAAGGTATGGTAACGGTCGAGTCTAGCCACTTATTTGATGTAAAATTCAAATCACAGTAAAAATTATGATATTTTGTAGTTAGAACTTTAAAAAATAATGCTTGCGTTAAAACCAGCACTAATTCTGATTCAAAGCTTACATAGAGGCCACAAGATGATGCGGAGGTGAGAATTTTCCCGGTTTTCGTCACTTCTAGTGAATTTTAATAAATTTGAGATATTTTTCACTTCATGAATTTTGCCTAAATGAGATTTTTATACACAAGATGCATCGGATACTTATAGTATATGAAATATATACAAATGGTAGATAGGCAAGTCTGTGCTCCATGTTTTCTGAAACAAAATGTGCCATAAAATCGATGAAAATTTGCATAAAAATGAGAAATGTCAGATATTAAACATATATATATAATCTTCCCGTGACCTCATAACTTAGAACCAATACTCATTTTGTGACAAGGGTGACAAGTGTTTTTTAATTGATAATCTGTTGCAGCATTTTAAAAGACATCGCAAACCTGGGGCCAAAAAGGGGTCTTAGCCTATCTTGTCTTTTATGCCAATTAGTTACTGTAACTCTATTATAAAACATTTCACCTTATGCCAGTTGTCGTTTGTAGTATAGTAGCCACTCCACACATAAACATCGTGATACAGAGAAGCTGGGCTCGAGCATCAGCATTGTCCCGGGAACAGAGAAGTTCTGTCAGAATGAATGGAATAGACAACGTACTTCCTAAACAGAGCAGAGCTTGCTATAAAGAGAACACAGAAATTCACTTAGAATGAATGGTATAGACAGCGTACTTCCTAGACAGAGTAGAGATTGCTACAAAGAGAACAGAGAAGTTCACTCAGAATGAATGGTATACACAGCGTACTTCCTAGACAGAGTAGAGCTTGCTATAAAGAGAACAGAGAAGTTCACTCAGAATGAATTACACACTCAGACAATAGAGCTTGCTATAAAGAGAACAGAGAAGTTCACTCAGAATGAATGGTATAGGCAGCGTACATGTACTTCCTAAACAGAGTAGAGCTTGCTATAAAGAGAACAGAGAAGTTCACTCAGAATGAATGGTATAGACAGCGTACATGTACTTCCTAAACAGAGTAGAGCTTGCTACAAAGAGAACAGAGAAGTTCACTCAGAATGAATGGTATAGACAACGTACTTCCTAGAGAAAATAGACAGAGTAGAGCTTGCTACAAAGAGAACAGAGAAGTTCACTCAGAATGAATGGTATAGACAACGTACTTCCCAGAGAAGGTAGACAGAGTAGAGCCTGCCAAAAGGAGATTGATTAACTGATTGTATGTTGTTTTACGTTCCATTGGAGAACACTTCACTCGTATAGAGATGTCACCATATACCGGTAAAGGGCTTCAAATGTTCACCTTTTACTCGGCACTTACGGTCATTGACCAGTGAGGGTTCTTTATCATGCCAAAGCCTACGGTTTTTAAGGTCTCATTCGAAGGACCTGAAACTTTAAATGTGCCAAGCGCATGACGAAGGAACAGTTGCTACCCACTTTTATCGACTTAGGTCAGTCGCGGCCGAGATTCGAACTCACAACCCTCTATCGACTGAGCTACCTTAATGCTTGCTATATAAGGTGAGAGAAGTTTAATCAGAATAAATGGTATAGATAACATACTTCCTAAGGACAATAGAGATCGCCTTACCGAGAACAGCTAGAGAAAATAAGCAGGAATGAATGGTATGGACAGAATTTTTATTAGGTCGAGTAGAGTAGAGCTTGCTTAAACTCATCAAAAGCAGATTGGAAAAATGGTCTGATGTAAATTTGCACAGAAAATCTTCATTAGATATAGGATATACAAATTAAGGAGGAGATGTATAATTACTTTTTTAATCACAAGTGATAATATATCAGTTCCATTTCTATTCATTCGTCACGGTAGCTCATGGACAGAGCCCCGTGATCGGAAGGTCGTGTTCGAATCACGTCTGCGATTGACCTACGTCGACAAAAATAGGTACAGCAATTGTTCTTTCGCAAAGCGCTCAGCAATTTGACGTGGACGTCGCGGGTCCTTCTGATGAGACCTTAAAATCCGAGGCCCAGGAGCGTTGTCACGATAAAGAACCCCCACTCATCAAAAGTCCTGAGTGCACGAGCAGTGGTCAGTCCTTCACCGGTATTTGGTAGCTATTTGAATGAAAAGTTCAAGAACGGGACGTAAAACAGCAATCAATCGATTCTTTTTTCGACATAAACTATACGAACCTCCTCCTTTTCTCCCATCCACAATCCGAAAAAAAAAAAACATTTAGCATCTGCCTCGCGATTACTCTTTCTCTCTTAATTTTTACGCTTTCTTTTGTAAATTGAAAATGACGGGGAGATTTCTAAACAGACCGACTAAACTTTTACCTCCTGATTTTATCCATTTAATTTAATTTACAGGAAAACAAGCTCTTTCGTAAGAATTAGAATGATATATATAAGGCTTATTTCAACACGATAAAATTTGGGTTAAATGAATGGAAATTCCTGTAGCGTTAAGAGTGCACCACAGAGGTGCATAATAGACGTAGATCTTGAGAAAAAAAAATAAATACTTTGGTTACTCACTTGAAGAGCGAACAGAAAGCAGAGGTGGGGAGAGGGGACGTCTTCCACCCCATAGACTATCCCTCCCCTATGAGCCCCTGCCTCCTGGGGTTTGTCCTCCCCCTCTCTCATGACGTCTTAGTGTGGGGTGCCAACTTGACTTTGTTCCGATTTATGTTACTCAGATTAAATGATATCGCGTCATTCGGTTTGATAAAACAAGGGTGCATAAAAAACGCAAAGGAAACGACAAAACACGATCGGTGTTTTTACCTTTGAAATTGTCCTGGCGGGAGATTATCTTGTTAACTTAATAAAAACGAAATTATTTACAATGCCTAAGATTTCAATAATCCCCGTCTTCAAGGTGGAGTGGGGTGGGGAGATATATATATATTTCTAAAAATCCTAGTATTATGTCAATTTTTCTCAGAATTGTAGACCTATGGTTTTCAGTATTGTTCCTCATGTACAGAAAAAGATTTTTCTTACTTTTTCAATATACATTTTAACCGCGAAAAATACAATATCCATCTTGTAACATTTTTTTCCCTAATTTGGAACAGTTAAAGAAAAATAACAAACATAAAATATTCGATTCATAAATTATAAAGAAATCATATTGGTAAATTTATTCGGTTTTGAGGCCATTTTCTCAAGAAAAATTTATATAAATTTTTGCATTTTATATCATTTTTATAAAATCTTAGAACTCTAAATTGTATTCATGTTATCTATTCTTTATTACCTTTTTAAAAAAAAAAAAAAAAGAAATCTGCATGTGTACTTATCCATAGGCATTACAAAAGCAAGCACGGAAACATTATAAATACATGTTTATGTTTATGATTTTTTAATCGTAATATCATTTTTTTTCTTTGTCTGAAACAGATGCAACGCCAAACAACAAAAAATTGAATACTAGTATCATAAATACATGTACAAGTAACACAATTACGCGCCTAATTCTGTGTATGTGATGGTGTGCGTATGATGCTACTTCTTATATTATTCAAGAAAGTATAACTACATGTATTTCAAATCAGAATTCAAGGTTCTACGTGTCAGGTGTAATTCAGATTTCTAGAGCACGAGTACTCGGGGAATAACAGATATAGGTAAACTGAGTGGGTTGTGTCCGGATTTTTTATTGCCAGACAAAGAGGTGTTTATCGTATAAATCATTTTAAGGACACCTTTTGGCTTTCTGTAAAAATAAGGGTAATAAAAAAAATCCACCTAGTAAATCATTCCCTGTCTTCAAATATAAAGGGTAGACTCAGATTATATTCTATATAATAAGACAATGAAATGGGAGAAAAAGAAATTAAGAAAATGAAGAGAATAAAAAACGGGGAAAAAATGGAAATATATTGAGGTGTGTTAATCATTTCCCATCTTCCCGGAACCCTGTGACTGTGCTCTATAGATATTTTTCATTACCGTCAATGTTAAATTCTAAAGACACATAAAACATATTTTGTAACGTTTGATAGATCAACCATCCTGGAAGCATATCACAGTTCTGCAAAGACCAAAGATATTTTAATTTTACAGTACTTATTGGATATTTTAAGGGAATGCTTACTCGTCCATGGCACCTGACCTCCCGCACCCACTTGATCCCACCTCTAATTGTTTTTGGAGATCCACAAATACTTAGCTTCCAATCATAAATATGACCGGGGCAGAAAGCGTTTGTCATGTCCATCTTCCACCCATCTGTCTTCCATCTTCCTTCCGTCTCTCTATGCGTTTAGCCCAGTTCCAAGCTCAGTTTCAAGGAAACTATTCAAGAAATTTTTCATGAAACTTCATTCGGTGAGATGTATTAGTGAGAGCTATTAACTTTCATCAAAAACTTTTGAAACTTTTGACCGAACCTTCCTGTGACATACATCTACTTTTCTCAAATTTGTGTTTTGCTTAATAGTTTTAACAAAACCATTGTATATATTTTTATTTAAGCTTACTATGCACCTATACATAATTTGGTGAGAATTTATCATCTACGAGGGCTGTCCCGTAAAATCGTGGACAAGTTGTCTAGTGTGAAAAATAAACATCACTGCGTTCTGAAATTTTCACTATTATTTAGTACATATTTTAGTACTATACACTGCAAATTTCAGATAAATATATGCATAAATAAACAAATTAAGAGATTTTATGCCATGTATTGTATCACCTTACGGCGCATGGATTATAACGTCAAAGTGTCTAAAACAGCGTCACGTTTTATCTTTGCTGAAAATGAAGCTGGATGAGTCCGACTTGAATTTAGGAATTTCATTGATACACATTCTGTGGTCTCCATAAACAGCCGAAGAACTAATTTGCACCCTCATGCGATCTTCTGAAGGTTTATTAGTAAGTTACGGACAATATTCTCACCATAGAAAATCTCATATCGGCGGTCTACTGTGACAGCGTCTTTTGCTATTACAATAGGAGTTTGTCCGTATGTTTTGTACTCCCCAGGGACTCGATCAGAAAAAAAACTTCGCTAAGAAAACTCCTATTTCATTTGTATACTTAAGATATGGTGTGTTTTTATAATCTTTTTTCTTCTATGGTCATTTCAAGTCTCTAAAGGTGTCATCAACATAGAAATAAAACTTAACTGTTCTCCGGTGCGCCGTAACGTCATAAAAAAGTATTAAATGACATTTTGCAATAATTTCAAATTGAACAAATAAAAACAAACGTTTTTTTTTTAATCAGAACATATGCTGAATTGAATATTCTAATTTTTCAGAAATCTTGTTATTTATTTATTATAAAGTATAATTTTACTTTCCCGTATATTCAAGTAAGACACCAATTTACTACATGTACCTGTTTTCCATTTTTATTAGTAATGAACTTCCGGGATCTTTACTCGATTTTTATTTAAAACGTGTGCAAAGTTGTAAATATCAGACTACTGAATAATACATATTAGCATATTCATTTGAGTGGTATCCGGTAATTTAAAACTCACAAGTCAATAACTTACTTTTGTCATTCGATTAGTTTACGATAGAAAATTGCGCAGTCAACACCCATAAATCGAAAATATAACGCATAACAATTAGAACAATTTTAAAGAAAAGGATTGCTTAAGAATTTTTCTGAAAAGGTAGGTCTATTATAAAAATATTAAAAATTTATTTTTTAAAATATTAAGCAACATAATTATATAATGGAAAAAAAGTTATTTCGATTTTCAATAAAAATGTTGCGTGACATGTTCCGAAAAGCAGTAATTCTTCAAAAACAAAGACAAGATAAAGATAGTGGTGTGATCATGAGAGAATGTAAGAACAATTCGGAAAATCATGGGAAGAGGTATAATTTTATTCCTTCTCTGGAGACCTTTGGAAGACGGAGAGAGTGTCTATAGCTAGAGTAACCTGCAGGTTTCATTGGTTTTATTCAACAACGTAATAAATCATGTACAAGCACTGAGTATGTGCTTTTTCAATTTAAATTTATTGTTGTCGTTTTTTAAAGTTTTAGTTGAATGAAAATGAAAAGGGGGAAACCGAAAAGCTCCTCCTTCACAGATTTTCTTCGTTGAACACCACCGTTTTAAAGATGTGAAACACAGCATTGATACTATTTTTTACTTGTAAAGAATGTAAAGATGAAGCTTTGAGTCTATCGATAAAACTGTTTCATGGATATAAGCCGGTGAAATAATGGGTCTGGATTTTATGTGACATGGAATATAGGACTCCTCAAGAAGACCCCTCGAATTTGACGATCAAAACAATGACGTTTAATGGATCTTGCCGTGAGCTGGGGCTCATCCGAAAAATAGTCGTATGGTAAACGTCACGTTTGATCCGCCAGAAATCGAATTCTAGCGCTTCTCAAGGCTTACCTATCATTTAACGACTGACAAAGAAATACTTATACATGTACAAAATCTATGACTGGACATTTTGATCTTCCATCACGATATAACTGATGTAGGTCCAGTCATTTTTATGGCTTTGAATGTATTTTAAACAAAACAAAAACAAAATTTCACACAAACTTCGTTCGTTTCCTATGAATTGGTAGCTGTACAGTGAATATGTACAAGGAAATTTCATTTCAGTCTAACAAATGTTTTTCGTATATATAAAACACAGGAGAAATATTTATTATTGATAGCTACATAAAATTAGCGTCTTACTTCACGTTATAAAAAAGTAAACCGCGAAGATAAACACGTATATGTTTTGTAACTGTTTTAATTATTCCAGACAGACAAAAGTGAGAAGAAAAAAATGACAGGACAATATTTGGGTGGTGGGGAAGGGGTGGTGGTAAATGAAATAGGATTTGGACAAAACGACGTAAACAAACACAAATTATTTTTTCTATAAATGCAGGAAGTCACGTCTGTCTCGTATCTTAACTTTTCTTGACGTTGTTGTTTTGCTGATTGGTAATAACAGTATAACATTTGTTCCTTAATAATACCCACTTACACCTCGAGAGGCTTGGACACTACATAATTATCCCCAACAATCACGTGGAACATTGTCAATCAATTTACTTGAACGTGCTGTTCTTCCTTAATGCTTAAGAATTTTTAAATATACGAGGGAAAAAAATTATACGGTCTACTTAATTTTAAAAAAGTCAACGAAGAAAGATCTCCGATTCTTCTACCCCTAAACCATTATTTGGTGTATGAAGTGCCACTGCCCTTTTTCAAAATCACGGGTGTTAAAATATTGACAACTACTGAAATAATGCATTTACACGTGTGCTCTCGTAGTTATAAAATTAGTAAAAGTCGGGAAATGAGCTGTTTTCCTCGACTTACACAAGTTTAATAGTTCAAATTGGTGTGAGAGGAAAAAAGGCTCCGTTTAAACAGATAGTAGGAGATATAAAATCTCCCCTTCTTAAATCTTCATCCAAGTTCGTGTTCTTGTTTATTTTAGCTCAGTTTTACATTGTATGCCTCAAAGAATTTCTTTTGATGAGATAACTTTATCAAACAGTTAAACACAAAGGAGGGCAGGCGTTGAGGTGAAAAATCTCCCTGTAGGAAGGTATAAGACTGACCACACAGCTCTATACACATTCGTACTACATGGTCACTTTTATCAAGAGGGTT